GGAAAAAGGGGGGTGGGGAGCACAAAGGGCTGGGAACTTCTAGTAGCTGGAGGCTTGAGAACTCTGAAGCCAAGTAAATTCCAATAGAAAGACTCCAGGCTCTAGATGTTGCTGATTTGCCCTCAGTCACAAAACTGGAAGGGTTGGAACAAAGACAAAGATGTCTGGTTTCTAATAAAGAACACTGCTTTGCATTTTATCATTACTGCAGCTGTGATGAGACAGAAACTTGTCTGCATAGTTTCTGAAAGAATGTGGTTGAGAAAAGTGCCCCAAGACAGGTACAGATAGAGCCAATCAGGGGCAAAGCACAGCAGGCCTCTTCTTGAAAGAAGCAGCTCTAGGCTCCACCCTGGAAGATAAGAGCAGGTAAGAGAACAATGGTTTCTAAGGAGGAAATCTTGAGACAAGCTTTGGAAAAGAACAGGTAGAACATTTTCACAAGCAATGGCATCTTGGGGAGAAGTATATGTTATAGACAGAATAAAGTAGGAGCATTCTAGAGCAAGGCCTTAGGACTAATGAGCTATGCTGGTTTTGTTAAATTTTGACAAAGGTGATAATGAGTATTAACTTATCAGAAATACACGAATCAGCAGGGAACAGACTAGTAGGTTTTGGCTTCAGCCTGGGTGACTGTTAAAAGTTATGACATAAATCAGAATGGAAAGGGGCAAGATTTGAAACAACAAAAGGAACAGAATCTACAGGACTCGGATACAGGAAGATTCCAAGGTGACTTTGACTTTGAAGCCGGAGCTGAGTAGCTGTGGGGATGTAATTCCATCAGCAGAACAAACGGCCCTCAAGCGGTAGCTCACCTGCCTAGAAAGTGTGCAGGTCCTGAGTTCAATCCCCACTACCATAAACAAATATTGATTCATTACAGAATTAGTAATGAACTGGCTTGAATTAGAACTGGCTTGAATGAATTACTCAACCAAGATTAATCTTTTTTCTGTGTACTAACTTGGATCTTTCTTCACTCCAGAAAATGATCCTTTAAGAGTTTTTCTTTAGGTAACTCTGATAGATAAGAAATCTACAAGTTCAGCTAAGTGCCCTGAGTTGCATACTCATGTTCTGACCTGAGGTGATGGGTTTTCTTTCATAGCAGTGGATTTATGATATTCTGGAACCTTAGTCTCTGAAGCAGTCCACTAAGGGCCTCATTTCCTTGATGTCACTAGAAGAGCACTCAAATAGGGAGAAGCAACAACAGAGTAACCAATGAAAAAATTGGCAAAGCATCCAGTGACATTTTATACATTTGCTCACTGGCCACCAAATCACAAAGGACAGTTTCACTGTCAGTTTCTCAGTTACTGCGTATTTAATTCATAGAAATAATTGACAACAAGCCTAGAGAGGCCACCAGACAAGAGACAATATAACCATGAAGTCTTGTTTGTTTCCTTCTAACAGTGAATGTGTTTGTTATGTTCTTCCTGCTGGCATTTGGCATTTCTTAGCTAGGGATCAGCAGAGCTGGTAACCCAGAACTTCTAAGAATTACTATCTGTTTGCCACAATCTCCATATTCAAAGAATTAGTAGCATGTTAAAATGTGCATTTTTATAACTTTGCTCTAACCTGGAAAACCCCATATTTTTTCAAACCACAGACAACAAACAACAGTTATGACAAGATCAAAAGGCAACAGATAGATACATGTAGAACTGACACTAAATTTATTTTATCATGTAGTTAATGATCAATCTACCCTATCCTACTATCTATCTATCTATCTATCTATCTATCTATCTATCTATCTATCTATCTATCTATATCTATCTATCTATCTTATCTGTCTTTGTCTCTGTCTCTGTCTCTCTCTCTACTTACCTACCCTGTCTACCTCTCATAGTTCTTTAAGATGACTGGTCACAGGGCTGGGAAGGTGGCTCAGTGGTAAAGCGCTTGCCCTGCATGCATGAGGCCCTGGGTTCGATTCCTCAGCACCACATAAATGGAAAAAGCCGGAAATGGGGCTGTGGCTCAAGTGGTAGAGCACTAGCCTTGAGCTGAAGAGCTGAGGGTCAGCGCCCAGGTCCAGAGTTCAGACCCCATGACTGGCAAAAAAAAAAAAAAAAAAAAGGACTGGTCACCAGAAAATTCATACAATGTCTCAATGCGAAGTAAAGATGGACTGTCCAAGAACAAAGACATGAAGGAAGGAGATTTTAAAAAGTCTCTAATCCACTTTGTAGAATGCTTCTGCATGTCAGTGTGGACAATTATTAAAGTCGGATAACTGTGACAGATGGTATTTAAATTCTCTGGCTCTCTGACAACCATCTGCATAAAGACTCTCTTTACTGAGTTCATATTTCCTCAGTATTCAACTTTAAAAGAGAAGGCACATACCTCTTAATTGTATGACATGGAATTAATCAAACTTTCCAATATCAGGGAGACTGGCAACCAAAGTCATTCAATGTGTGACTTGCTCCTTGGTCTCTTAAAATATAATTCCTGCTCTATTGTAATATGACACAAAACATTTTAGAACAAAAATACGGTCTTGTAAGTCAAATAACACTAAGAGCAGAAGCATGGCAGAATAGAAAAATCAAATTATACATATATAAACACACATATTATACTATATATTATATAATGTGTATGTATGTATGTAGGGGGTTTGATGAATTAGCACAATTGATATTTTATTCTAGGTAACATACATGTGTCTGCAAGCTAGGCTGAGGATCTGATTACTAATTACACTATCACTTCAGTGAAAAATAAAAATTGTGGTTGCAATTGTTCCACAGGAGGGAAATGCTTACATCAAAAACACAGCAAATTCTTTACCAGTGAATGTTTAATTCTATGCATCTTAAATTTCATCTTTGTTGTAAGTTTTAAAAAATACTCTTAAAAAAATCATGGTTGATACATTCAAGTTTGTATTGCTAAAAAAGAACAGCTTTCCAACATTCCTTCCGCCCCACCTACACTAAAAAAAAGGGAATTCCATCTTCACACTGAGGGAAATTCTAGACACATAATTGTAATTGCAATAATCATTTCTCTCAACTCTTAGCTACACCAAGCTATTCTGCAAATGACCTGGAATAACTATCCTACTTCTTTTCCCTCCTCTGCTGTGTCGCTTATTCCTGCTCTGCCCATATGACTTCAACACAAGGTTTTCTACACTGGATGAAAAACCATTACCTGAGACACTTTTTTTTTGTTTTGTTTTTTGTACTGATCCTGGGGCTTTAACTCAGGGCCTAGGGGCTGTCCCTGAGCTTTTTTGTTCAAGGCTAGCAATTTGCCACTTGAACCACAGCTCCACTTCCAGCTTTTTTGGCAGCTAATTGGAGATAAGAGTCTCACGGACTTTCTTGCCTAGCCTAGCTTTGAACTGTGATCCCAGATCTCAGCTTCCTAAGTAAGTAGGACTACAGGCATGAGCTACTGGCACTCAGCCTGAAACATTAAAAAAAAAAAAAGAATTCTTAGCTTAACAATGAGTCAGAATCTGAAGAGAGTGTCCTCGAAGTCACACCTTTTTTAAATTTTTTATTTTGTCATGGAACCTGAACTGTGGGACTGGGCACTGTCCCTCAGCTCTTCAGCTCAAGGCTAGTACTCTACCACTTGACTCACAGTGCCAGTTCTGGCCTTTTCTGCTTATGTGGTGCTGAGGAATCGAACCCAGGGCCTCATGCATGAGGGGCCAGCACTCTACCACTGAGCTACCTTCCCAGCCCTGGAAGTCACACTTTTGAAGACTGTCCTCCTTGGTGATTGTCATCCAGTCTAGTGGTTTGTATCCTACAGGGTTTTTTAAGATCAAGTGGAGGGTTTACTAAAGCACAGGTTACTGGTCTTCAGTCCAAGAGCTTCAAATTCATTAGGTTTGGAATGGGGCCTGAGAATCTGCCTTTCCAACAAGGTCTGAAGAGGCTGATGCTGCCACCCAAAGACCAAGCTTTCAGAAACTACTTATTCAGCTTGCCTGGCAGACACTACAGCAGAATTGAGGCTTTTTTTTTTTTTCTTACTTCCCTTGTAGAAGAACAATACTGGATCAGAAGTCTCACAACTTCCTTTTTATTCATAGCCTTGTTACTTCTTAGCTGCCTCATTTTAGACAAACAAATTAACCACTCCATTTTAGTTTCCTCTTATTGTAAGATTTAAAAGAGGTGACTCAAAGGAAGACCTTTGGGCACTGTACCGGGTACACACTAGGCCGGTGTCTATCATCTTTGTACTCCCCGATCCTATGAGATACACATGAATTTGTTGAGTTCTAGAGAAGAGTTCTCAAAATTCATTATATAAAGCTTTTTTTTTTTTTTTTTTTTTGGTTTAAACAAGTAAGCAAGCAAACAAACAAGCAACAGCTAAGCACTTCTTTTCCTTATGAGGTACCCTGAAGCTACATTTTGGACATACCAGGTCCAATGGGAATATACTCAGCTTCCCGACTCACATTTTTTCCCATGGATATAAAAATAGAAAAGAAAAAGATTAGATTATAACTCAATTCTGTTTAACTTTGCCCAAGCTGAACTTAGTACCCAGGTATGGATTATTTTCCTGGCAGATCCTTATTATATTGTTTGGCTAATTTTTTGTGACCTGAATGTCAAACGAATGAACTACAGACTCTCTTATGCAGGGTGGCTCTGAAAACCATGAATCTCACCCATCTGACCCCATGGATGAGGCTAAAAGCCATCTCCAATGTGAGGAGGGCCAGACTCTTCTTAGATATCAATGTGGTAATTTACAAATCCCAGTACAGATTTCAGATAGTTGTCTAACTGTTAGATTGTCTCCCCTCTAAGAAAGTATCTTTATTTCTTTAATTTCTATATCCTTGCTGACATTTCTTCCCTCTATTGTAACCTAATTACGCCCAGTTTCTCCTCCACATGACAGTACCGATGGATTCAGACCATGAACATCACTGAGACAGAAATGCCATGGGGCCACTTATAATCACTGAAGATTCAAAAAGGGAATGTATTTCTTACTTTCTTCGAAACATTTCTGCAAAGATACAGCCAACACTCCAGAGGTCCACGGGGGTGGCATAGCTGGACTGGAGCAAGACTTCAGGAGCCCGGTACCACAAGGTGACAACCTACAATGGAAAACAGATCTGTGTTACTGAGGAAGTTGGGTGTTGGCTTAAAATCTTCCCATCTTGAGTGATTTCATGACAAGATCTGATTTGGAAAGAACTCCTATAAATCACATGGTGATTTGTCACCATCGTGATATGGTGATAAGTGTATTAAGAAAATATATGGGGCTGGGAAGGTGGCTCAGTGGTAGAGCGCTTGCCTTGCATGCATGAGGCCCTGGGTTCGATTCCTCAGCACCACATAAGCAAAAAGAAAAAAGCCGGAAGTGGCTCTGTGGCTCAAGTGGTAGAGTGCTAGCCTTGAGCTGAAGAGCTGAGGGACAGTGCCCAGGCCCAGAGTTCAGGCCCCACGACCGGACCCAAAAAAAAAAAAAAAAAAAAAAAAAGAAAATATATTATCCCCATTCCCTGGGCTCCCATCTTAGAGTATTTCAACCAAGATAACAAAGTAACACAAACTTCAGAAAGTGAAGACCAGATTCCACCCTCTATACCTCAAATCCTCTTATCTTAGAACTAGTTGTTTTCTTAAGGGCATTAAAAGTGATACATGGAAAATAAGTGACAGCAGCAACTCTAGTTCACTTCCCACCCAGCTCAGGACTATTGGCAAAATAGAAGAGTGGCTGTTGGATGAATCCTGAAGCACTCTGATTACCCAAGACAAGTCAAAAGTGCTCTTATCTTGACACTGTGAGCAATCAAAACAAAACCACCTTCCATGCTGCTCAGAAAATAATTAAAAACTAGGGAAGAAATTGAGAATGTATAACCCAATTATTCATGCCATGTGTAAAAAGAGGAAGAGATTCCCAAATTGAAGAATGTACTTAATATAGAACAGTACCAAATAGATTAAACAAACACAACTGTACTTGTTTCTGTCAGGTCATGGCCCTAACCTATCATGTTAGGACTTTCCTGAATGTTCAGGGATCAAGTGCTTCCCTTTGGTTGGAGGGGAGAGGCAGATACTCTATGGATTGTCAGATAAAGAATTAAAAGACATAAATCTATTACACAAGTATTTTATATTATTCTGATTCCATTATTTTTATCATTCTAACTGTATTATTATTACACAACTATTTATATATATATATATATATATATAATTCTGTCTAATGGCATGATTACTGACATTTGTGTAACTATACTAAAATTTGGCTTTATGGACACCTTGTGATGCTTTGTGACTTGATGCATTAAGACTGGGGTAGCAAGGCTCTAAAAATAGTTCCAATCAATCTTCTTTCTTTGTATGTGCACACTGCCTCCTCATCAAGAAGCAGAGTTTTTCACCTTTCATTGAAGCTGACTTGGCTGTATTGATTTGCTTGGCCTACAGGAGATGGTAGAAGTAATGTAGGAGGAACTAAAAAAAAAAGCTAGGTCTTGAAAAGCATGGTAGCTTTGGTCCTTTCCAATATATGCCCTTGAGATGCTTTCTATTGGGAACCATCTGCCATGCTATGAGAAGACAAGGGAGATGCTCTGCTGATGACCCCAGTTGAGCTCTCAGCTGAAAGCCTGTAGGTGAGCCATCCTAAACATTCAATATTAATGGATCCCCCAGGTAAGTGTAGCACCAGTAGAGCAGTGCTCAGCCGAATTCAGTCAACCAGCAAGATTATGAGTGATAATTAAATGTCTTCTTTAAATTTGGGGGTGATTACATAGCCACACTGACAGGTCCTTAGACTTCATTTCACCTCACATGTTATTCTTTGAGTTCATTCAGGGGAAGAGTTCTGTGTACTGGATATCTCGATGTATCTAATGGAGAGATTCTGGTGATGTAACAGAATATAAATACACAATAAATAAAAATACAATACAAGCTTTCAAATCCCAAACAATATGAGTCCAGTTATCACTTGTCTCTAATATATCTTTCCAACGTCATCTCCCACAGTCCTTCCACATCCTGTACACCTCAGCAAACAGTGGACTGGATCACTGGGGCTTTTTTTTGCCAGTCATGGGGCTTAAACTCTGGGTCTGGGTGCTGTCCCAGAGCTCTTCAGCTCAAGGCTAGCTCTACCACTTGAGCCACAGTGCCACTTCTGGCTTTTTCTGCTTATGTGGTGCAGAGGAATCAAACCCAGGGCCTCACCACTCTATCACTGAGCCACCTTCCTAGCCCATGTATCACTGGTTTTTATACTCAATGTTCACAAGCATGAAAACTTAGGTGTCTAGACTTTAATTTGTATCATACTGAATTAGATCTCCTTGGTTAGGCCCTTGTATTTTTTAAAGATATTTTAAGGATACTGTTTTTTTTTTTTTTTTTTTTTACTAAGGAGAGTGTACAATGCTGGACTCTATCTAAACTATCTAAAGGTACACTCTTTGATTCTCTGACACGATATAAACAAAACCACAGGTTCAAACTCTTCATGAAGTTCCTCTTGAGTGGTTGATACACATTCATAGATATTGTGAGGGCACACATATCTTTTCACCTTCATCCAAAATAGTTTAGTCTCATAAAAATGAAGTTTCCTTTAGATACAGCATGATTTAAAATGTTTAAAGGGAGTAATTTCTTTTTAAAATTAATTTTTATTAGTATACATTAGATATACAAGGGGATAATTATTGTCACATTTCCACACCTATTAAAATGTATCCCAATCAATCTCACTCCTTCTATACTCTGTCTTATCTCCTTCCCTCCTACATACAACATTTTTAACAGGTTTCATTGTCCCATTTCCATACGAGGGAACTGATTTCTCATGGATTATTCATTCTAAAAACCTTTAACAGGATTAACTATGTCATTTTCAAAACTATTATGGTCATCAAACAAAGTTGAAATGGTAAAAATAATAAAACATTGTTATGTTTAAGAAGCTTCCTTCGGGCTGGGAAGATGGCTCAGTGGTAGAGCGCTTGCCTTGCATGCCTGAGGGCCCTGGGTTCGATTCCTCAGCACCACATAAGCAAAAAGAAAAAAGCCGGAAGTGGCGCTGTGACTCAAGTGGTAGAGCGCTAGCTTTGAGCTGAAGAGCTGAGGGACAGCGCCCAGGCCCAGAGTTCAGGCCCACGACCGGACCCAAAAAAATAAAAAATAAAAAAAAAAGAAGCTTCCTTCTATTCCTTCTAAAATTTAGCTGTCACTCAAAATGAAGAATGGATCTTTATTAAATAACTTGAAATGACCATATGATCACTCTATGGTATTAATGACATAGATTTCCTAATATTGTACCATTCTTGCCTTTTTGCAATAAACCATTCCTAATTATTGCATATGATTCTTTTAAGACATAGAGAATTCTATTTGCTAGTATTTGTAGAGTTTGTAATGGTAATGGTAACAAAAACATAAAGTGGAAAGGACATGCAAAGTTAATGATTGTTTCAAGGGTATAAATTCAGCCAGCTGATGTGAGTAGGCACTTAAAGAGGTGTCCTGCTGCTTGAACTTATGGCCTGGTGCTGTCCTTGAGATTTCTGGCTTAAGGTTAGTACTCTACCACTTGAGCTACAGCTCCATTTATGGCTTTTTGGTGGTTAACTGGATATAAGTCTTATGGACTTTCCTGCGTAGGCTAGTTGAACTGTTGATCCTCAGATCTCAGACTCCTGAATAACTACGATAACAAGCATGACACACCAAGTGCCAAGCCAGCAAGTGTATTTTATGGCTGAGAAAATTCGGTCTTCAAATGTTGAGTAATCTGTCCAGACACAGAGAGCTGAGATATAGAAGAACTGGAATTCTGACCAGGACCATCTAATTTCACCCTGCAATCCTTTCTCGACATCCAGCACATCTGCAAGTCAGCAGGCAAAGATAAAGGCTGTAAGTAAACATCCAACAGGGAATGCTTTTAAACTACTTTGAAATATTTTAATATGACATTCTAAAAGAATTTACAAATCTCAAAAACTCAGGTGCTTTTGGAACTGATTTTCTTGATAAATGGCTTGAAAGAAAGGTTGTTACTTTCTGGTTGTGAATTATGACAGTGCTCTGCATGCTGACATCTGCTATTAATTTCCACCTAACGACTTCAAGGAGAGGTGATTTAAAAATCTCATTATACATCAGTCATAAGCACAAAAATTGAGAATGCAAGGTTCTGAGTTCAAGTCCTGGTACTTACACACACAAGTATATTTGTATTTGTAAGATTTTTGCTTTACATCTGTGTAAATCTCTTTGAGAGAAAAATGATAGAAAAGTGAGAGAAATTAGGTTAAATCTGTTTTGATACTGTAATAACCATTAATGCTTGTCTAAAGAGATTTTTTTTGGTTTAATCTTCATAGATTTGACAAAAAGAAACTGAATAGTACAAGGCTTATATTTCTATTTACTTCTCAAGTAAATAATTTAAATGTAGGACATAAATTTAAAAATAATAAGTTAGTACATTTTAGACTTAGTACATTTTAGACATAGACTTTCCTAGTAGATTTTCCCCTGGTTTATATATATATCACAGAGTTTTTCCAGTACTTCCCCAAGCAATACTGTTTTCTTAATTTCTATGATGTCAGGTCTTCAATCCTTATAGTCACTGTTTATAATCTTAAAATCTAAAATTCTGCACAACTTAAAATATTTAGTTCAGTGCAATTTAGTTATAAATTTTTAAGAATGAATTGTGATAATTATTCTGATGGTAAAATATAAATTCCTTTTTCTTAGTAATTATATTTTTGTGATTCCAAAAACTTCTGCTGGAAGACTGCCTAACTTATAACCAGTTAAGTCATTTCAAGCAGAAATGCATCAATTTTATTTGAGAGCTTTCTATAGAGTATTGATTATGAAAAGCAAGTCCTAGGGCTGGGAAGGTGGCTCAGTGGTAGAGCGCTTGCCTTACATGCATGAGGCCCTGGGTTCAATTCCTCAGCACCACATAAGCAGAAAAAAAGCCAGAAGTGGCTCTGTGGCTCAAGTGGTAGAGCACTAGCCTTGAGCTGAAGAGCTGAGGGACAGCGCCCAAGCCCAGAGTTCAGGCCCACGACTGGAC